CTCTCACCAGAAAATGAAAAATAAGAGGCAGTGAGATCTTGCTTATCAGTCACTGCTCTAGGGTACAGAATCTTCTGCTGTAGTGTTTGGGGGACTGGATGTAGGGATACTCAGGGGGAGGGGAGAAATTTTGTTTTCAAAGCTACTCTAGCGCCTGAGTTGGATTAGATGGGTCCACACCAAGAGCCATAGGAGAGACCTGCAATAGGGCATAGAGTGGAAAAACGTTGAAGATATTAAGGGGATCTATGGTAGAGGCAAGCTCACAATTGGCTATGGGAATGGGTTTCAACATAACTTCCTACCTTCTAATTGGTTGATCACATAACCCCTGGGGTCAAGCCACAGCCCCCTCTTTAGAGAGATCACTGCTCTAAACTGTAAACTACTTAAGATTAGGATTAATTTCTTCTCTTTCCATTTTAGTTTCACGTGCAGTGATATTTGTAGCACAAGTGTTCAGTAAATGTTTGCTATTCAATTCATTCTATTTTGAAAAGTACTTAAGAAGTACTTAATAAGGTCACTCTCTTTCCAACCTTTTCTTGTATGTAATTAAGAAGAAACTTCATTTGGAATATTATCCTCTGAGAACTTTTGAAATGTTATTTTTTAAAATGCTTGGCTCCTCAGAATACAATGCTTATTCATAAATTAGGTATAATAAAGTTAAATTCTATATAGGGAAGCTACATCGCAAGATGCAGATGTTTACAAAATATGTCCAGAGAACCTCAGGTTCAGGTAATTCCAGTATTTCATTGTAGGAAATCATTCAAAGTAATCATTATAGCCATATTAGTTTGTATTAGTTTCAGGCAGGTACTGTTACAGGGCCAGTATTCCTGAAGTATAAAAAAAACCCAGAACACCAGAAGATTCAACATTACCCTTTGAAAACTACTGTGCTAGTGGTTTAGAATGCCAGATTACAAGTCAAGGGATGACTCTTGATGTGTTTTGTGACCTTGGACAAATTACTCCTCTTATTTATGTTTCTATAGCTATTATTATATCTTCTTTATATGGATATAAGGAAAATTAGATGTTTCAATAAATAATTTTGAACTACAAATATAAAGTATTACTTAAATTCAACAATGTTGCATTATTTAGGACATTTCTGTGTGAAATTATTTATAAACTCCCTTTAAGATACCCTTCAGAGATAGTGTCTGTGTTATACCACCGATTTACTCTATGACACTCTAGGCAAGTCACTTAGCCTTTTTTGCTTTCACTTTTCTATCTGTAAAATAATGGTGGCAGTGATTTAAAGAGTAGTAAATGCTTCTAAATAAAGGTGCTATCTAAACCTTTAGTATTAATATAAGCCTTTAGAGTTAATAAAAATGGTACTTCACTCCTTACTGATGCTGTTAGCAGAAAATCATAGCAGTCAAGGCATCTAAATAAGCCATTTTAGGAAAGGTAGTACCTGCCGTAAGAAGGGTTCTAGTTGATGTTTGAGCCTTTGGGAGCAGGGACAGGGAAGGACCATGCTTCTATAGCCTTTATTCATTCTAATATACATTTGGCATTTGGTCTTCTATTGTTCTCAGTTCTGACTAACTTTGTTTTCTCAAAAAATTATTCTTAAGCTAATCCTTACACATATAAACCTTGAAATATTGTCATTTTTTTAGTCTAAAAGTATGAGGCCCTTTAAGACTTCTCATTCAAATCAGATGATAACAAAATTAATCCTGTAGCACCCCATCCTGTGAAATACTCCTAATCCTCACACATAGGTTGGGGAGGGGAGGAGGAAGAGGATGACTATTCTATGTTCAAAGATACTCTGTATTATAGATTTGCAACTCATTAGCCACCATAGCTAGCCAATAGACACAATTAACTCAAAGCAAAGGCATTAACTAAGCTAGAATAATAAGAATAGCTAGACAACATTCCTCTCTGTAAACCTGAGGCACACTGTCCCTCAAATGTGCATCCTTGGGAAGAGTAGTTACTAACTCAGCACACACTTGTAATGAGGTACATGCAATGAGAGCAGGTGGACAATGCAACTTACTCTCCAGTACCTCAGGGCTCAATATAATAATAACAACCATAATAACTGGAATTCACACATCACTTTAAGATTTACAAAAATCATCTCATTTTATCTTCACAATAACTCTGAGAGGTATTTGTTATTAGAGCCCCATTTTAAAGATGAGGAAACAGGCTAAGAGAGGCTAAGGGACTTTTCCAGGGCCACACAGCTAGTAAGTATCTAAGGCTAGATTTCTACTCAGGTTTTCCTGACTCCAGGTCCAACACTCTGTCTGCTGTGGCACCTTGTTCCTTAATATTCTTTCTCTCTTTATAGTGTTCTCATATTGCTCTCCCTTAGATATAGTGTTTCTCTACTAGGTGTGAATTCCTGAGAACTTAATTCTGAAATGCTTGTTTTTTCTTAGAGCCTTGGTCAGCTCTCTTCTCTTCTGCCAGAGGTCAAACTACATGAAACTGGTTTTTCACATATTTCACAGCCAATGTCTGTCTCCCTTTCTGATTCGTCAGGTATCTCTTTTCACATTCTATAAAGGAATAAGAATGCATGGACATGTTTTTGCACTCAGTTTAATATATTGACACGTAATTGTTTTTGTTATTTGCCCACTGTTTTTTGTGATTTGTCAACTCAACTGGAGGGGAAAAAACCAACTCTATCCCCTTCACACCCATTCCCATAGGGAATTGACCTCCTCAAGAAACCAACATACTTAAGGATTCTACTGGCATATCTAATCTTATGAGTTGTGTGGTTTTCCTGTTAAAAACGTAAGATTTTGCTAATTATAAAAATAGCATTCTCATAAGAACCCTGGTCAAAATGAGCATTCAATCTGTGAATCCATGCAGCTTGATTTTATAAGAGATTAAATTAAAGCATGTGTAATGGTTGTCATCACATTTTAATAGAGGTTATTAACTTCTTATTTCTTTATGTACAGGCAACTCTTAATTTTCCTTGCTAACAATGATAAATAGGGATGATAATTAAGATATCTGATCATTACAAATAATCCAGACATTATTTTAGCCAGTACCTTTAATCTCATCTTCCCCATCAAACATTTTACCAGAGATTCTGAATAGTAGAACTAGCTTGTTAAACTTTTTCCAGAGGTATAGTGGATAGAGAGGCATCTTCAAAGCCAGGAAGATCTGGGTTCACCTCTGATGCATTAAATGTCCTGGGCACACCCTCTAAGTAATCTGTGAATGCTCAAGGCACCTCATTAAGACTATCAGTTGCAGAGAAGGTGCAAATCTACATTGTTAGAGTGAGTTTCCTCATCATGGAGTTTTCTATAGCAAAGAAATAGCAGGTCCAGTGCCTGTCCTTCCTGCACATCTGTGATGGTGTTACCAATACAAATTTGATCAGCACTCAGAAAATAGCATCAAGGTGACTGAACAGTCAAGAGTTAATTATAGGATCATAGGATTTTGAAATTGGAAGTGACCTGAAAGATCAGCTCTTCTAATACTTTTATTTTACATTTGAGAAAATTCTGGCCTAGAGAGGTTAAGTTATTTTGCCCAAGGTCACAGTTATAGTAAGTAGCAAAGCTAGATTAACCTAGGTCTTCTGACTCCTAATCCTGTACTTTTCCCCCTATACCATAAAGTTTGAGCTACTAAGTCTTTCGTGTTAAGTTGTGCATATATTTTATTTGGACCTGAAAACCTGAACAACTTAGCTATGGGAAAGGTCATGAAAACCATTTCCGTATTGTTGTTTTACAAGCGTAGTTTGTGCAGTATAAACTGATAGAGCATAACTTCCTTAAGTGAAAATCACTGCACTATTAGATTTTGATTTTTGAGTAACAATTGTCCACCTGATATAGAAGAAGATAGGAAAGGGGTATTTATTTTCTTCCAACAGCTAAAAGGTGATCATACTTCTGAAATTTGTTGAGATTGTCCAAGAAAGTGTGTGAAATACTCATCCATCACTAGGCGCCCCTGGTCAGGAAATGACAGTGCAGTAAATATCTTCAGCAGCCACCTTTTAATGTACAAGCTGTTTTCGGTTGGAATTTTCAGCACTCACATAAAACACACTGTCATGAGTGACTGCCTGTGCTCCAAAGTCATTATTATTGGGATAATGGAACATCTTTCACCGAATAACCAAAAAACTTTAAATGTCATGTCAAGTTTGTTGAAGCCATTTTCAAACCCTGCTCAAGGTTACATGAATATTGAGTATGCCTCTTTTTTAAGTTTCAGATCTGTGAGAAGAATCACTCATAAGACTATAAGATTTAAGTCACTTAATTTTGAGGGGATGTAATCTGTCTAATACTCTTAGGAAAAGTCATTCAGCTATAGCTGTTTCATCATTAGATACTATAACAGATTCCTAATGATGATGTGATGTGTCAAGATCACTCTTGCTTACTAGTAATTTACCAAATAGAAAAGAAAATAGATTCTCTTTTACAATTAAATAGTGACAAAAAATTGTTGCTTGTGCTTTCAGATTTTAACACTATACCTATATATCTTTATCTGTCAAAGGAATCCAAATGACTTCAGTTAAATTTTTGACCTCTGTGACAATTCATTTTCTGTGTACGAAACAGCATTGGTTTTTTTTAAACTATTACTAAAACAAATATTAAAGGAAAAAACAATTCTAATGAATTGGTTTTCATATATATATATATACACATGTATATGTGTGTGTGTATATATATATACATATATGTATATGTGTGTGTGTATATATATACATATATGTATATGTATGTATATATATATATATGTATACTAATTTAGTTGAAATTAAAAAGACTTGGGGGAAAAAAAGACCTTTTATCATGTAAATATCTTCTGTCTTGTCTTTGACCTTTGTCTCTGTGTGGGACCTGTTCAATGAGAAGAATAGCTTTGAGACTATTTTTGAACATTTGCACAGTCCTTAGTAATTCTTTCCTAAATTATAAGTTTTATGTTCCTTTCCTCTTTATTTATAGAGAACCAGAAGAAGCAACTGGTGGAAGTATCCCATTCCCGCCGCAAACTCAATTGCAACTCAAGCAGGACTCCTGTTGCCAAGGAACTTAATTATAATCAAGACACTCATTCATCCACAGTGAGGATCAAGGATATTGGGAAGAAGGAGACCTGTAACATAGAAGGCACCAAAGAAAAGGAAATGGAGCTTCTTGGCTCTGTTTCTAAAACTGAATCACTTCCTGAAGTGGAGGCCCTGCTGGCAAGACTTCGAGCTTTATGAATTCAGTTGATAAAAATGAATAAGCACACTATAATGCCATACTGTGCTTGGCTGCAACACTTTTTTAAATGCCTTACTTTTGTATAACTGGCATATAGTTATGCATTTGAAAGTATATCACAATTTTATCTAAAATTCATACTTGCAATGCTTTTGCTGTATGTTTGAGACCTTGTGCAAAACTATAATTGGCTTAATGCCTTTTGGTTGACAATCTGTTCTACTATAGTTGGAAAGAGAGATTGAATTATATATAATATTCTAGTGAACAGGTGGGTGACTACTCTACTCAGCAATGTTTTTTTAAAGAAAATATATGATATGCCTGCAGGTCTAAATAATTATATTTGGTTTGTTGTCTATGGCTAGTTCAATGAATCACAAATCTCAGAACTCAAGTCTTGTTGTATACATGCATGTATATTTGTATTTATATATGTCCAAGTTCTTTTTGTAGTTATGATCTGCATTCTCTCATTGTAACATCAGAAATATTAAGTAGACATATAAAATGACTAGTAGACACATTATAATCATTGCTGAATTCAGGCTGATTAGATTCTTCAAAACAGTAAGGTATATTAAGCCCACTGCAAATATATAATGTATGAAGACTATATGATATATTACTTAAGCTTGTACACAATGCAGATGCATTTATATAAAATGAATATATCTTATACCAAACTTTTGCTGCTGAAATCTTATATCTGTTCTGGAAGACTTTTTTTAGCTTTCAATCATGGCTGAGGTACAAAATTATCATTTTGTAATTTCCCAACTGTGTGGGTTTTTTTGTTTTTTGGGTTTTTATTTTTTATGTCATGAGCTAACAGTATTGCAGGTTTTATAAACTACATGACCATCAGTAACTTTTACAGATAGATTTCAATGAATAGGTTTCCTTTTAAAAATGTTTTACATAAAAATAGGGGCACTGCTGCTCTGTTAATTTCTCATCAAAGAAAATAAACTTCTTGCACTAAAGAAAAAAGTTGCTTTGGGTGGTTTCTCATTTGAACTTATGATGCACTGTGAGTTAATTTGGAGATAGGTTGTTGCTGTTTATATATTTTGCATTATAAAATACACTATAAGGTCTTTTGCCTTCAGTTAAAAAGCAGTTATATGGAACCAGTCTTGGACAGGTCCCCTGCTTTTTATTTCCTTGTTTAAGTTGCCTCCTTCTTCTGCTCCAAGTTAATAAAGTTAATTAATTAGAACTGTGAAACAGGGCCTGTTTATAGACATTGGGGAACAGAGTGTTTTCCATAGCCATTGTGGGAATAAATTGTTCTCCTTTTATGCATTACTGAAATGTACATTTTGCCCTCTAGTTACAGTTCCCATTTTCTTGAAAACAAATAAAACAGCAAAAGGTAAAAGACATTTACACATTTAAACAGACAACAAGCCCTGACGGCATAGCAGAATTGTTTTGTTTAGAAATGCATTTACAGAAGAGAATTGAAGGTATCAGCTCCTAAAATGCATTTGAGGTTTCTTTTGAATAGTATGTTAAGGAAACAAAACAAAACAAAACAAACAAACCTTACACTTATTAAACTGAGCCGTGCCATCGTGCCAGTTTGTAAGTGGCAACAGCTCCAGATCACTAAGGAAATATTTGGGACTAGAAAAGCCCAAAGTAAACAGGAAACAAAGAGATCTGCAAGAGGACCCAATCCAGGAAGCAAACAGAATTCAAAAAGACCGAAGTAGAGAACAGAACTATCTGAGAGGTCTAGAAACCACGTACCAGGTAGGTCAAAAGGCCAAGCAAACTTTCTACAACCAGAAGATCCCCAGGAACTGAACTTGTTTACTGAAGGCAGGTAGGGGAGCAGGTAATGACAGGGTATGGGATCTAGACCCCCAAAAAGAAAAGACCTTCAGTCCTTGAACTTTCCCACAAATTTCAGGAACCTAGTCCCTGAACCCAGATCCCTGGTGTTAGCCTGAGGCATCGAGCTCATCTTAGTATACAACTGTCCTTTCATCGTGGCCCTGACCCAGCCTGGCCTTTCATTCTCTTGTTACCTCTGGACTACCCCTGGCTACTTGCCACTCCTAGATCACATCCAGATCTTCCCACAGTCTTTCTGTATAAAAGTATCAATCTTGCCCGCATTAAATTGTGAAAACTCACTAGGAATCTTGCCCACCCCTACCGGTGTCATATTATACTGACTAGTTGGACTTAAAGAAGATTTGAGTGGTTGAATTCTCTCAAAGCACACCCGTGCCCTATCCCTTTGCATTTCGGGGTTCCCAGTACTCCTAGACCACAACAATACCAAGAGCAAGGAAATGACCCAGATAAAGGAAGTAGTATGCCATCTCACCCTCACCTGCGTTTATCCCCTCATCCTAGTGAGAGATTCTTGAGTGAGTATGACCTAGAGACCTGGAGGTGATGACAACTGAACACAGCTGCCTGGATGAATGAATACAAGAGTAGAGGGGCATACAGGATTCCAAGACAGGTACCTTTCCTTGTCAAATGCCCCTTTATAGGAAGAAAGAATGATAGTTAAACTGTATACACACATGCGCGCGCGCGCACACACACACACACACACACACACACACATGCGCACACACACAAAATGTGTATATATCTGTGTATGGGAACATTATTTTGGCCAACAACAAATTGCAGTTAAAGCTATTATTACCTTTATCTCTTAGAAAAAAGCATGAGTACAATTTCATGATCCTGAGCAAAACTACATTTGTTCATCTGAATTAGTGGGTAATAGTCCAACACAAATCTATCTGATAACGATTTAGTACACTTGAAAGAATATGTATGTTCCAGATGGGCTCAAGACTAATCCTGAATCAAGACTAAATTATACCTTTTCTTTCTTCTCACCCTCCTTTTTATGTAAGGAAGGAAATTGTGTCAAGAAAAAAACTGGATGACTATGCTATCATTGAATCGTCTATGAGCAAAGTCCTTCTGCTGCTAATTGGACTGTTTTCTTCCCACTCTCAAACATTTGAACTTATTTCAAAAAACCAAAAGAAAGTCCAATTATTTTCTTATATATATATATACATACATACATACGTGTGTGTGTATATATATATATATATATATATATATATACACACACACGTATGTATGTATGTATCTCCTTTGCAATGGATATTTTAGAGTATTTGAGTAAGACACATCGGAAACAATTATTCTGTTTATTTGGGTATTTTGACAATACTTACTGAACTTTCCTAGTAAAAGACCAAATGTAATCAATTCTGTGTAGTAGCCAAAACTCAAAATTGTTGCAATTGCCATCTGTTACACGAACATTTGTGAATGATTCAAACATGGTGGTTTAGCTATAAAGAAATACACATTGGCTATACTTCTTCAGTGACTCTTATTTTGGAACATCATAATCCAATTAAGAGCTAAGTTGCCTAGTTAGAAAATTTACCATTTTAGGCTGAAACACATTTTATTCTGTATTTCATCCCTAATTAAACACTTCCTCAACCCACAAGCCTAAGATGTTTAGGCCCAAGACCATATTTTTATGGTTATTTCTGACAACCTATTTGGGTTGACTGTGTGACTTCTGAAAAATTATGTTTCCTTGTAGATAAAATGCTAATTGGATTGATAAAGAAAAGGTATTCATTTCCTGTTTTCTTCATATTAATTATTAGAAGCAGTTTGAATAGATGTAGTTGGCAATGCTTTGGCCTTTTTTTTCCCCCTAGTGAATCACTCTATGTTAGCTATTGTATTCCCTTGCCAGTCATGAGTTCTCTTAAAACCTGGTGGTGGGCCAAATAGTTAAATCATTTTGCCCCAAAGACTTCTGTTTAACAAAGCACACAGTGAAGTTGCCAAGAAGCCATAGAAAACTAACTAGAAAATACTAAATAAAAGCTTTAAAAAAAACCCAACTAACTAGGGTTCAGAATTTCCCTAAAATTTCCCAATCAAATGGAAATGTGATCCTTTTTGTTAAGCTTTCCTGTAAATATCTCTGCCCTAAAAGGTGTCTATGTGAATATTTTAAGGGTTAGGAACAGTCCTCATAAGGGAGGGGGGACAGTTTGGAGAATATAGTACAGTTCTCATTTGTTAGCTGATTTTAATCAAATATTACTTTAACAATACATGTTTGAATCACTAAAAAACAAAAAGATTCTTGTTTCATCCAAGAAAATAAAAAATGGAGAGAATCTTGAAAGCTATTCATTTTTAAAAATCCTAGTCAGTTCCCCAAAATGATTAGAAATCTGGGTAACCGTCTCTTTGCAGTATCATATCTTTGTACAAACCTATATTTTGGAGATCTCTTAAGCATTCTGAAGTCTAATTTTTTTAAAGCCATTTTAATGATGAAGTTGGAATTATTATCCCTGAATTAGGAATGGCAGATCATATTTTCCTGCACTTTTTTTTTGTCTTAATATACCAGTATTGTATTATGTTACTATCCCCCTTTGTTTTGAAAGTCAGTTCTTACAGGTTGAGAATTTCTTATTTTCTCTTGGCATTTTTGTATCTTGTCATATTTTGATTGTGTGTCCATGTCTAAACATTTCCAAATGGTATTGTATCTGACCCAAAATGTTATTTATTTCTCCTCTCCATTCTTTGTCTACAGGGACCTGAAATTCATGTTCAAGATAAATGAAGATAGGAATCCAACTAATCATTAGGCTTTTGTCTGTAAGTCTCCCTGGGTGTGACTTACTAACAGCCAAATCAGAGTCTGATGATGGGTAACTACTGCTAGAACACATCAGCTAGAAATAAGCATCTTGGAGGAAGATTTTATAGGTTAAAACTGGGTCTAAGCTAGAAAATAATACTAAAATTAAGTCTCAGATTCATGGTGTACTTTATTCTTTAGCAGAACCCCAGATAGAGATCCAGTTTTGTTTCACTAAATCAGCAAGCATTTATTAAGCTCCTGAAAAGTACCTGGCATTGTGCTAAAAACAGTAATAGAAAGACAAGCAGCAGAGTTTGCTCTCAAGGGCCTTGCATTCTTATTGAGAGGAAACAACTTGTACAAGATGTAATAGGAATAAACCAAGGAGCCTCTGATCAATTTGATGAGACATGGAACTTTGTATGAAGGGTACCTTCCATGGAGGTAGATGCATGGTAACAACTTGCTGGAAGGAAAGAAGGAACTCCTGGTTGGTTGCCAATGACTCCGGCTGCCTCCATGGGCAGCTGAGTAGTGGCAAGGAATAATCTGTTCCTGTAGTCTCAGAGATCCTTGATCTCTATAAAGGATATCCTTCTAACAAGGGCCCAAGCCATGTAATCTCATCAAAAATATTTAAGGGAACTCATCAAATTGATCACAGGCTTCCCTCATCATCTCTACTACAATAAAAAAAAATTAAATGGGAAATATTTAAAATATAATACAAAATAATACAAACTATCAAATTTTTTTTAAAAAAAGCATGAAAAGCACGAGCAATTGGTTATCATGATAGGCTTCCTAAAGGAGAGACATTGAAACTATTTTGAAGGTTGCTAGTAATTCCATGAAGCAGAAGCGATTGGTAGTGCATTCTAGGCATAGGGGACAGCCTATAAGAAGGCATAGATATAGGACATGGAATATCACATACCGGGCACAAGCTGACCATTTTGACTAAAACAGTGCTTGAAGGAGAACAATGTCCAAAAAACCTGGAAAGGTAGGCTGGAGTCAACTTATGCAGGGCTTTAAATGCCAGGAGATTTTGTATTTGATCCTAAAGACAAGAGGGGCCCCCCTAGAGTATTTTTTAATAGACAAAGGACATGGCAAAATCTGTGCTTTAGAAATGTTGATGTGGCAGATATGTGAAAGATCTATCAGAAAGGGGAAACATTGGAGGAAGGGAGAATGATTAGGCTATTGGTAGTCTAGGCAAGAGGTGATATTGATCTGTATTACCATGGTGGCTATGTAAGTGAAGAGAAGGAGACAGATGAGAAATATTGTAGAGGTACT